ATACGTATTAGGTTATTTTCACCCTTGTAAATTACTGCCAAATCTTAACAACACAAAACATGAAATAAAACAGTCCCATATACATGGAATACCTCTATGTCTACGGTTTGTTCTAAATTTCAGGTCTGCAGATATTGTTAATCTTACATACGTACTATTGGTGGTAAATTCACCTTATCAAGTTTAAATACGTGCACTTTCCTTGATAACTTGGGATCCACTTTAGACATATTCCTAAGTTCATGAATTGTGAAGGCGATAGTTATGAATATCAATAAGTTGGTGTTATAACCACAATAAGATTTAACATATTTTCACATCAAGTTTCGTGTAGCTCACGAATAGCGTTTTCTGAATTTCTTGTTTTAGCTGTGATATATCCACAAATAGTATATTTCGGTCGATTTTAGCTCTAATCTAAAATTCTGACTCGGGTAATTTATTAAAATAATTTTCTACTACATGATTTGTGGAAAGACAAGTAGATTATTAGGGTAGATATGAAGCTGGGGGAACGATATTTAGAAAAGATTAGTGCAGGATTGATGAGGAATGTGACAATATATGGAGCGGAAATATGGGCTTGGAGGGAAAGGTATTGACAGTGGGTGTTAGGGTTGAGCAGGGAGAATCCGGGATATATCGTAAGAGATGAGTTGAAGCTGGAAATGGTGAGGGTAGAAGCAAGCAGAAGAACGACAAAGTTCGAAGATGGGCTGGAGATTTTGGGAGAGTGTTGGAGGGAGGTTAATACTGTGGACGGGGAGTATGGACAACAAGAAAGAAGGGTATATTATCTCAGAGTAGGGTCATCAACAGAGGAAATACCAAGAAAAAGGAGGTAAAGATCAACACTGAGGAAGCAGTTGGAGGGTAGAGATAGAGATGAGGAAAACAACGGCGTGCTGAGGTGCAAGAGATACAACAATAAGTATAAGGTAATAATAGTTGAGGAAAATGTATGATTGCGCGAACGAAGACAGGGTGAATAAATATTGGATGAGGATGATTGGGAGACGATTGATCACATGCTGAGGTGTGACGATTTTAGGAAGGAAGGTATGGAGTGGGAGCGTATACCGGATGGAGACGGGAGTTAAGTTTGACACACGATTTCTAAACAAAGGAGTATGACAGCACCCTTGGCAAGTGATTGTAAAAGATGGCTTATTTAGCCAAGATTCGAAAATGGTACAACACTTACCACTTTTCTTTTCATAAAAAATATTATTGCCTGTTTTTCTGCAAAAAACAGTTATTTAAAAAATAGATATACTATTGTATGCTATTTGTATTTCCTCCAAACTAATTAATCAACTTTCTTAAAAGCTGTGTCACTGAATGATGAATACCAGATGTGAATACCTACAGAGAAATGTGGTTTCAATAAGATGGTTGCCCAGCTCATGCTCGCCCAGCAAGGGATTACTTGAATACAGAATATCGCGAAAGATGAACTGACGCCTTGGTTTGATTACGTGGCTTCCTCATTCTCCGGACCTAAATCCCAAAATTTTTTTTTTGACGGTTACATAAAAGATAAGGTGTATTCAAAACCGATTGAAGATCTTGACGAACTGCGCCACAATATTTTTACAGCAGCAGAAGAAATAAATGCAAGGAGATTTACACGACTAGTAAAAAGATCTTATCTGTATCGATGCAAAGCTTGTATTAGTGCCGACGGCAAACAATTTGAGCATTTGCTTTAGTTTTAAGAAAGTAATGNTATGCTATGCATGCATTAAATAGGTTAGCAACACAAACAATATGAAATCCCCATCAAAGACCTATGAGACAGACGAAGGGGCAGACCGTATGGGCTGCAGGCACTATAGGTTATAGAGTTTTACTAGACCATTTACTATGGATACAAGGCTACTACATCATAGTACTATTAATATTTTAAATGGTCAAAAATGAAAGACAATTTCAATGTACTTTAACTGGTTGTAAAATTTTTATTTTTCGTCTGACTAGTTTTGCCCATCTTATCAAAAAATAACTATAGGATTGACAGATTATGTTGTAGAACATTTCTACAAATACCATAAAAATTAGTTAAACTTTTAAAATTAAAGACGAGCACGTTACAGTTTAAAATGGTTGAACTACGTCGTTGTTAAAAATGAATATATTTCATATCTCATTGGAGGGAGGTTAGTACTGGGGACGGGGAGTATGGACAATAAGAAAGAAGGGTATACTATCTCAGAGTAGGGTAATCAACAGAGGAAATACAAAGAAGAAGGAGGTAAATATCAACACTGAGGAAGCAGTTGGAGGGTAGAGATAGAGATGTGGAAAACAACGGCGTGCTGAGGTGCAAGAGATACAACAATAAGTATAAGGTAATAATAGCTAAGGAAAATGAGGGAGGTATGGAGTGGGAGCGTATACCGGATGGAGACGGGAGTTAAGTTTGACACACGATTTCTAAACAAAGGAGAATGACAGCACCCTTGGCAAGTGATTGTAAAAAATGGCCTATTTAGCCAAGATTTCAAAATGGTACAACACTTACCACTTTTCTTTTCATAAAAAATATTATTCCTGTTGTTCTACATAAAACACGTTATTTAAAAAATCATACTATCGTATGCTATTTGTATTTCCCCCAAACTAATTAATCAACTTTCTTAAAAGCTGTGCCACTGAAGATGTGAATACCTACGAAGAAATGTGGTTTCAATAAGATGGTTGCGCAGCTCATGCTCGTCCAGCAAGGGATTACTTGAATACAGAATATCGCGAAAGATGAATGAGATGGCTTCCTCATTCTCCGGACCTAAATCCCAAAATTTTTTTTATGACGGTTACATAAAAGATAAGGTGTATTCAAAACCGATTGAAGATCTTGCCGAACTGCGCCACAATATTTTTACAGCAGCAGAAGAAATAAATGCAAGGAGATTTGCACGACTAGTAAAAAGATCTTTTCTGTGTCGATGCAAAGCTTGTATTAGTGCCGACGGCAAACAATTTGAGCATTTGCTTTAGTTTTAAGAAAGTAATGCAATGAAATTAATAATCAATAAATTAATAATTCCTTTTGTTTAGTTTTGTCTTCAAGTTAAATTTATTCGAAATAGTTCTTTTGCAAAACATAAGGGCAACCAGCTTTTTGAAACTACATTTCTCCGTAGATATTGAGTGGCACATATTCTAACAAAGATAAGGTTATAAAGAGGAAATACAAATAGCATGCGAAAGCATGAATTTTTTAAATAACGGGTTTTTTTTTTCAGAAAAACAGGCAATAAGTGTTGTACCATTTCGGAATCTTGACTAAAAACCACTAAAAACCAATTTTTTTAAATCACTTGTCCAGGGTGCTGTCGTAATCTTTTTTTAAGAAATCGTGTGTCAAACTTAATAGAAATAAATTTTTTTCAACCTTAACTCAATGAAACTAATACTTTCTTCTCAAAACTAACGACTTTTGTAGTTTGATTTGTGACTTCTATAGTAGCATGGTTAATAAGGATCATATTATTAAGAAAATCACTATTAAATTGGTTACATTTCTAACCGTAGTACTTAAAGATACGATGTACGGCAATGATTTTTAAAATTCTGGGTTGGCCTCTCACCCAGTAAGCGCTTGACGTTGAGTTTCGAAACACCTGTATATGACATAATTTGTGTCTAGAAATGTTATGACATTCTTTATGTCCTAAATCTATTATTTCTGTATTGTATAATGCTCACAACCGTGTTGTATACACTCAAGCACATAAGAATTTTGAGAAACATCATATAATCAATGACTTGCAACCTGCATTTCATCCGTGCAAAATACTACAACTCCACTTACAGGAATTAACTTAAACGAACATCATCTCTTCTGGACTGTGAAGATTTCGTAGGTTCTTAGCTAAAGCCACATAAGCGTTCGAGAGGTTCATTAAACCAGTAACTACACTTTTATTTCTTTAGTGTGTTTAAAAAATTTAACTTCTTTGTTAAAATGCCATTGGGAGGCGCAGCTGCGAAAATATTGTTACAGCAATTCAAAAGTATTCCTTAGTGTGATTTCTGATCATTCACAATCTTGTTGGGTACAGATGAAATCCAGTTTAAGGATCAGTAACATTTTGTTTTTACCTTTTCAAGACGTCTGGGTTAATTTCCCTTCGTGAAATCCTCTACAAAACCGTTTTCCAGTAGAAACACTTTCAGTTGCAATTAAACTGAATTTACTGTGACACGTTCTCTAAATCACCCACGAAATGGTGAAGATTCGATTTTCATTATTAATATGATTTGACAATAAGTAGCCATCTCCTACTATTGAAAATACAATAATGTACTGGACACATTTTAACTTCTCTAAGTCGCAATAAGAACACTGAACTATCTGGCTAAACTAAATCATTTTATCTTTCCTTGTAATTTCCGATATGTTTTGCAATTTATGGAAATAAACATGTACCACATAAAACTGAACCTTCGCAGTCAACTCGCTAATAGCAGTAATTCACTTTTTTTATTTTTTGGCTAAAACCACTTTTGAAAAATTCAAGGCTTCAATAAGCATTGGTGAAATAAATTGAGTAATAGATAAAATTTAATTACATTGGCATATGGTAAACTAGATTATCTTCATCATTTATGTACCTCGGTCTAAGAAACCCATTTCTGTTTTAACAGCAATCGTTATGGCAAACGGTGCTAACAGTAAAACGCCCTGACTAGATAGTACTATAGCACCCGTGGTCGTTAGAACTGGTTGAGTTATAAAAATAATTCAATCGTTATGAACGGCGAGTTATTGCGGTGGTTAGGTTCATTTTACGGTGTTTTTATGCCTTTGGTCGTTTAATGCCGAGGCCTTCCTCATACCAAACCGGATCAGATATAGTCATTACCAGTTTTATTAATTAACTCAACCTTTTTTAATACCCCCTTAAATTCAATTAATTGTTATTTATGCAACCCAATTAACATTCGTACATAAACGGTAGATTTCAGATTCTAGGGAAATTTTATCTAGTAACGGTTAGGTTGGTAATAATTGATAAAAGCCGAAGCGTTGTATTTTGAATGCTATTTATCGATTTATTTAGATAATTAATACCATATGAAGGTATAAAAAGTGATTAGTTTAATTCAAATCAAGGTAATTCATTATATTTTTCCCAAAACTACGTGTAAATAAAGGTATTTTAAGAAACCGAAAAACATAACCTTACTTTTTTCGTTTACACTTTTAGCATGGATATCAGACCGAATAATACGATTTATATCAATAATCTCAATGAAAAAATCAAAAAAGAAGAGCTTAAAAAGTCTCTTTTTGCTATATTTTCCCAATTTGGCCAAATTCTAGATATAGTTGCTTTTAAAACCCTTAAAATGCGAGGTCAAGCTTTCGTGATATTCAAGGAGATTCAAAGCTCTACAAATGCTTTAAGATCAATGCAAGGATTCCCCTTTTACGATAAGCCAATGGTAAGTTAATTTAATGTATCTTGACCTTTTTATGTTTTTGGTTTCTTATTTTATTAGAGAATACAATACAGCAAAACTGATTCTGATATAATAGCAAAGATGAAAGGTACATATTCAGAACGACCTAAAAAAATACGTCCACCTCCAACTAAAGAAGATGATGCTCCTAAAAAGAAGAAGAAGAATAAAGACCCTAACAGGATACCTGGAGGAAATAATGCTGAACAACCTCCAAATCAAATTCTTTTCTTAACAAATCTCCCTGATGAGACAAGTGAAATGATGTTATCGATGCTTTTTAATCAGTAAGAAATAATTTAATTAAAATTAATTTAAAATTAAATTATTTATTTATATATTTTTAGATTCCCTGGATTTAAAGAAGTTAGGTTAGTTCCAAATCGTCATGATATTGCTTTTGTGGAGTTTGAAAATGAACTTCAGTCTGGTGCAGCAAAGGATGCACTTCAGGGATTCAAAATAACACCTACACATGCCATGAAGATATCTTTTGCAAAGAAATAGATTTAATGTGAATGTATTTTTTTTTTTTTCATCTAATTGGTAATAATTTAAGGTCTAATTATGTAGCTCACGATTTTTTTAATTGATTTTCAATTAAACTACTTTAATTTCCTTGTCTTATACTATTTTATTTATATTCCATGTAAGTTATAAATAACCCCAAGAGCAGATTAAGTTTTCTAAAATTAACATCTTACAAATTCCTGGTTGATATGTAATGTTATAGTAGATGTATAAGTAAAGTACTGCTTGGTGTAGTTATAATATATTCACTAAAGTCTTTGTTTAATATTTCATAAAAAGAAAAAATTATTTTCAATTTTTTTTTCCAGAAAAACATTTTTTATTACCTAGAGCTTTGAACCTTTTTAACAAATTTGTCAAATAAAATTATTCAAGTTCAAACTCTTATTGGAATTATTTCATAGAAATGAAGAATATTTCGCGACCGAATTTTTGTAAGAAGACATTTTCGATTGCACCAAAACATTGAAGATTTGAAGTAGATGGAGACGGTTTTAAATAATATACGTTTAGTTATTTATAGCCACAAATAAATTAATTTGTTTAGTTTTAGCAACTTTACACTTCAAAAATTGTAGTGGTATGATGACCAGGTTGCTGTAGACGTCCATCGCATCATAAAGCTCCAAAAAAAGGATCTTATCACAACTTTTTAAATAACTGGGTAGAGTACCTACATTTTTAATTGGTTTTAATTTTGTCTAATATGGTGTGTTGAAGATAGCCTTCAAAACTCGAACCATATAAGAACAATAATTAAAAAATATATTAAATTAACACTTCCATAAATGTAGATATTTTATTTTATTTAGTATTAAGCAAAACTAAAAACTTTAATAATAATGTTCTTATAAATTCTTATTTCCAGAATAATGTCGACGACACCCAGCATATAAAATGGCGTTCTTCCTTGGAAAATTACATCTTTTAAGAACAGTTATAAGGTTAAACTTTCCTCAAAACTAAAAAATCGTTATTTATTATTATTATATCGTTAAACATAGTATATAATGCCGTTATATACACTATGAACATAAAGTAAGGAATACATTTTTTAATAGCCAATTTTATGAAGATAGCTGAATATCTACATAGGGTGTGGTGCATAAAAAATACTCAGAATTGTACGTAGAATTCATAAATGCAATTAAAAATGGTGGTTTTTATTGAAAAATTTTAATTTACGGGTCGTATCTTAATTTTGGGACACCTGTACATTTCAAATTTATCACAAAAAATAATATAAATTCCCGACCATATTTTAAAAATGTATTCCCCAAATTTTAATCGAATTTATAGTTTATTTTATGTACACAGAGTATCATAACCGTTATTTGCAAAAAAAAAACACAAACAAGTATGTTGATGATTTCTTTTCATGGAAACACTCATATTTATCAAACTAACTAGCACCTCACAATATATTTGATTGTGGGTTGATGCCAGGAGAGAGTTAAGTCTACTTAAATTTATTTATAAAGGTACGCTTGTACAATACCCATCCACAAGCTAGTAAGTTTTGATAAAAATTAATAATGTAATGGTACACGTAGGAATCTTTGAATTATAAGGATTTGAAGCATCTTTTTTATGATGGTGAAGACTGCTGTCCCTGTTTAACCCATTCCATTTCGTGTGACGTATCTCTTTTTTGTAGTCTCTACAAAATTATCAAGCAATATTGGAAGTATTGTATTTCAAGAAAAATTCTTGAATTGAATGGAAATGATAAACAGGATATCACCAAATCGAAGTAAACGATCGAAGTAAATATTGAACCAAAGAACTGAGATTATCTGCTATAAAAAGCACTTTTTTAAAAATATTGTCTACGCCATTGCTCTCTACGCGTGTAAAGTGATCAATTATCTATCAATTGGTCTGTTACAAAACTTTGATCAAAGCAATAGTTTTTAAGAAAAACACGTTTGTAGAAAATTTGTTAATTCAATCAAAAACTGTTGCTTTAATCAAAGATTTGTAAGAGACCAATTAGTAGATAATTGATCACTTTACACGAGAATACTGCCCTAACTAGCAGTATATTAAGGCTTTTCATCTTAATTTTTGATGTATTACATACCTGCCCTGGAAGTCTGTCAGCGGTTTTTTGAATCACCCTGTATATATTTGAATTAACAGTAATTACTTCAATTTTTGTCAATGAGAGACTAAATTATTACCAGTCCTTTCAGTCCCATCTTTCATTAAAGCTTTGAAGTCTGCATCAAATTACCATTGTGCTTCCAATTTAATAAAAGGCACGAGATTTTATGGATGAGTCAAATAGCTCCGTCAAGTCTAGTTTATGTCTGTCATGCCTACGCCAAGTCTATCAAATTTGCATCGAGAAAATTTTGTATAAAATCTTCATCTATACCATGAATCAACCGAGACAAGTTTGTTCTGTACAAAGATACAAGTCCCCATCAAAAGTACATTAAGAATGCCACATCTTTATTAGATCTGCTTCAATACTGCACTAAGAGCGCAGTAACACACTTCTTCAACATGACATAAAATGTCCATACTTGCTTATTCAAACTACATCTTGTCTTTAAATCGCCAATTACCTATGTCCCTTAACTTGATAGTTGTACTAAGCCTCCATATAAGATCTACTTTAAATCTTTACCATTCCTGCAAAATCTTTGTCAACTCTACGTCGAGTAATTCCTTATAAAGTACATCAAAACTTCAATACATTCCTATCAAGTCCGGTCTTCATGAAGTCTGCATCAAATATTTATTGAATCTGCATCAATTAGTTATCGAATTTGCATCAAAATTGTATCAAAGAGTACAGATATATTACAGAATACATTATCTGGGCATCCAAGTGAAAACTTGCTTCTATCAAGTTAAATAGTCAGTACAGGGTGGGCAAATTTGGGTGTTATTATATGCTATCTCAGAAACTATAAGAGATACAAAAAAAAAGTAAGTGCCATATCCCGGTCTCTTTTTCCGTGACTAATCCAATCCCGTAAAGACCAAACCTCTATCTTCTTTTGTTTTTAAGTTATAGTCAAAAAGTCAAATATTAGCGATTTCAAAAAATGCTCATATTTCGTTTATTTTTGAAATTAGAGAAATGGGGTTAATACATTCTTAAGATACTTGTTTGAGTAGAATATACTGCCGTTGAATAATTTTAAACATAGTTGATAATTTTTGACGTATAACATATAGTTGTATTTTTTATACACAAACTATAGTTGATTATGATGTTAGTGAAAAGAGCATATTTTTAGCTTTCCAATGATGTATCGCATGGTGTATTTGCGGAAAATAAGCGCTATTTTTCAATTCCAAAATGGTAAGCGGTAATGTCAAAATTTAGACATTCATTTCTAGATTCATCATATCTAATTTAAATCTCTATAATGATCAAGTCTTTTTGAAGTCTGCAACGAGATAGCTCAGTATAAAGTCTGTGATGATCTCTACATTGGATCATCAACCTAATTAACAGGTTTGATTCACAACGGATTGGCAATGCCCCTTGAATTCGGAGAAAAACAAATCGCCAGAACCTGGAAAAGTTGTTAAATTTGTAGTAGTCTGTAGCCATCCACTCAGCTACTTAAATAAGGAAATTTATACTTTTTTTTATGATTATAAAAAGAAAGTAAAATAAAAGTAGTCTTGCAGAAAATTATTATTGTTCTTAAATTCTACATGAAAATTAAAAGAATTTTAAAAACTGCCATTTTGATTAATTTCCCCCTTCGGGATAGCAAATTCAGAAAATTGTTTTCCTAAATCCAAATTAAATAATGCCTTCTTTTGTATCACAGCTTAAACAAAAAAAAAGTCTTTTCTTTTAGTTATTTGTGTAAACTTTACGCAAACGAGCAACCTGGTAAGAAAATGAACACTAAAATTTTAAAGGCCTATGTGAAAAAATGTTTAAACAAAATCTGTACCGCAGATCTGTTCTGAACGTAATTTGATAAGATAAGGCGAATCATCTATTCGAAGATTATACATAAAGCGAAGACACGAATTCTGCACAACCTGAACCTTCGTTAAATTCTCATATACGACATAACAATAATTAAAGTGAGGCAACACAAAAGACTCAGAAAGGAGTCGTTTCAGAGCTTATCACAAGGTCTGAAACGTCTTACTACAGTAAAGACTTCTTCAATGATAAGACCCAAATTCTTAAACGAATTCGTTTGTATTAACTACGCATTTTGGTATTAATATCATCTTTATTAACAAATTACACTTTTTAGTAAATAAAATACCTTGAGTCTTGTTAGGGTTGACCAAAAGAGTATATCCCTTAATCTCCACACATAGAGTAAGCTTCCGATCGCTCACCAGGCAGGAAATCAAGATAACATTGGGAATCATCAGCATCACGATGATGAGAACAATACTTTAACTTTGAGAATAACTTACTGGTATAGATTGTAAATTAGATAGGACCAAAGATAGATCCTTGCGGAATACCAGCAACCAATTTAGCAGAATCAGAACTTTTATCAAAGAAACTCTTAAACAAGTTTTGCTGTTAAATAAAGAAGCAGCACAATCAGACACACCAACAAATCTAAGAAAAGCACAGTAGATCTATCAGCATCAAGAGCTCTATATATATCATCAGTTAAGTCAAGTAGCGCCGTGGCACAGCTGTACTGATTCCTAAAACCAGATTATTTGTCAGGTAGTATATTATAAGTATTTCAAAAGGATCTTAATTGCTCCGCTATAATCTTCTCTAACAATTTAGACAAAATCGAAAGGATGATAATAGACCTCAAATCTTTATGCTCTTTAACTGGGTTAGTTTTAGGAACAGGATAAACCAACATTCTCAAACAAAACTTGAAAATATGACAAAGAACATTCAAAATACGAAGACAACACAACCTGACCATATCTAGAGAAATATAGTAAATAACACTAGTAAATTTCTTTTGGATTTTATTGAAATACTTTTTGGGTTGCAGTTGACCACAAAAATTCTTCGTCTTCATATAAAACATGTGCTTACGTAACCTGCAGTGTCCGGTCAGGATGTGGGTGAGAAGCCTCCAGTCACTTTTTGATTTTTCCAGAAACTGAGTAGATCTCTTCCGGTCGGGGTAGAGAAATTTTCTTAGCATAGACACCTGCTGCTGTTCCATCCCATCTGCCGCCAAAAGCTCGATAGGAGATGGAGTTTATCAGTTTTGATGCTGTGTTAACAGCTAGTGGTACAAACGGTTTAGGGGAGATCGGTGACTTGTTAGCCGCCCGTTTTGCCAGTCTGTCCGTATGATCATGTCCTTTAATTCCGATGTGTCCTTTTTGCCACTTTATCGTGACGTTGTTCTATAGGTTTGCCTCCTCTACTGATTGCCGACATGACTTCACCAACGATGATACAGTGTGGTGCCTACCAACCGCCAGCATAGCCTGTCTGCTATCAGTGCAGATTACAACGTTCCTGAAGACTTTTTTGGAGTCGATGATCGCATCGGCTGTTATGTTTATAGCAGTTAATTCGGCTTGAGCAGTCGTGCAATACGATCCTAACGAAGTGGAAAGGTGCAGTTGGAGATCGTGCGAGAAAATCACGAGAAATTCTTTGATCCATCAGTGTAGATGGTCAGCGTTTTGCCCGAGCTTGCCAAAGTGTGGCTTGCCTAAGAAAGTAGGTGTAATGTAGTCTGTGCGAGCTTTAAGGAGGGATTGTTTAATAATGGAAGTAATCAAAGAATCAATTTTGAAGATATACAAAAATATACATAATACTGTATGTACATACAGTGTGTTAATTAATTATCGTATTCGACGTCATCATTGCAGGTATGCGACCAATATCACAGAATTTATTTTATAATACGCGATTTGCATTAAATAAAAAAACAGCACAATCAGACGCACCAACAAATCTAAGAATAGCCAATAATTGGTCGTGATTCAAAATATCAAATGCCTTACTAAAATCAAGTAACACAAGCACAGTATCAAGAGCTCTATACATATCATCAGTTAAGTCAAGTAGCGCTGTGGCACAGCTGTACTGACTCCTAAAACGAGATTATTTGTTAGGTAGTATATTATAAGTATCTCAAAAGGATCTTAATTGCTCCGCAAATCTTTATACTCTTTAACTGGGCTAGTTTTAGGAACAGGATAAACCAACATTCTCAAACAAAAGTTGAAAATATGGCAAAGAACATACAAAATACGAAGACAACACAACCTGACTATATCTACAGAAATATAGTAAATAACACTAGTAAATTTAAATTAATCTTCAGAAATTTAACTCTTCAGACGATATACTGAAATAAATACTAAATAATCTGAAATAGGCCTCCATTTAAACGCCCTACTCTTCTTCATATCTTTGGCCTAAACGTCTATGGTATTCCTGTTTACTATTTATCACAATAATTTTGTAGGTCACGACTAGGTCTTCACATGTCATGCGTCAAGACAGATCGTAGACAGAGATGCTCAAGTCGAAGCAGATAAAGCCCCTTTTGAGTCTCTGTCTATGGTGCATGACATGTAAAGACGATTGTACTAACAAAGTACTACTGGAAAGAATTTTAAATTAATTTATTTTATAATTTAAGCGATTTGCGTATTGCAATACCAATACTGTGATATTGGTTGCATACTTGCAACGATGACGTCGGGTACGATAATTAATTAACACACTGTATATATTTTGATTCGACGTTAACAGAATAGTGATGAAGAAGAGTGTAGAAGCTAAAACAAATCATAAATTTTCTTCTTAAAATTCGGTAATTGATACCCTAATATGTGAGAGAAAGTAAAAATCCATTTTTTTCATCTCCTTCTTTATAATATTTATATATTATAAACATTATTTGACATACACAATTTGTATATAATTATTAGTTTAAGTATAAACTACTTATAACTTTTCAAATTTTGCTTGAAATCACTTTTCGTCGACTTTAATTCCTCCTTATTTATAATTTTCAATAAAAATACTTCTACCACCTCTTCAAATTCATTTACAAACAATTTCAATTTTCTTACAATTACTATTATTTTTATTTACATTTCGATTGTATAATATCATGTATAAAGTATATACAAAAAGAGGACAGAAAAAATGCTAAGTATATAAATTTAACTCCTAGTAGATATCATCTTTAAAATTACTAGAAATTGTGGTTTGCCGATCGACGGGCATCTGAAAATGGAATTACATTAATTAATTAATTTCACTAATCATAATTTTATTCCCTTATCGTTTAAAATACTATGATATATTTTTAAAATCTATGGCACTCCTATAATGCAACTATAAATACAAAAAAAAATTTTTATCTAAGATAGACTTTAGGTATTAAAATTTATCGAGTTAGCTTAAAATTATTTAAGTATAAATAAAGAAAAAAATATGTATATTTCGGTCTAATATTGTCAAACTTTGATTAATCGTCATCAATAACCAACCCTGTTCTCGCCGGCTGATGTTGATTCCTCTGCAAGATGTTGTAGCACTGCAATAAACAATGTAAAGATGCTGCTGAAGTTGCTTTTAATAATAATAAATTTGGATCATTTATAAATGTACTTCCGGCTGCTTCTAACACCCGACATAATGCTAAGTCAGCTTGTTCTGTGTTCTGTAATTGTGTTTTTGCACTTCCCATTGCATCTAGCACAGCTAAATGTTCTCTTGGAGGTAATGGTGGACTTGTAGCACTTATTGCCTACAACAAAAATTTTAACTGGTTTTTAGTGTGATAAAAATGTTAAATACACACTTTTGTATGTGATTCTGCAACAGCTCTTAATCCATTAACCCATTCTTGTCTAGATCTAGCATCAGCAGCCCTTAACTTTAGCATATCTCCAGAAGCACAGTTAACAGTGAAAGTTTTAGAGTCTTCATCGCTTGGACAAATAACAGCTCCAGCTAAATGTACAGATCCACGAGGGGTAGATCCTTCGGGTTTTTCACCCTCACAGAGGAAATAGTGAAGTAGCCCCGCGCTCCCATCTACCGTAAAGAATCGATATTGCCACCCTTTCATTACGTTCGTATACTTATACAATTGCCCCGAAAACTGTCGGGTTTTTTGGTGGATATCCATTACTTCGTGTATTAGGTCAATTTTGACGGATACTATTAACTCTTATCGGACGGAAAACGGGGCCTAGCGGACGTGTTTTTTCGGGGTAATGGTTACGTGGGCGGTGATTACAGGTAATTTTGTAAGTGTTTTTTAACCTCAAAAGTCACTTTGATGAGTTACAAAAGTTTGTGTCATTTTGATTTGTTTACGTACAACCGCGCCATCTGTAAATTAAATTGTTAAGTACAGTATTACATTGATAACTATTTAATTACAGAATTTAAAAACATGCGTTTTTTTTTAATTTTATTATATTAAATGTGTTACAACAGTGATTGTCTTATTTGTTTTGAATTTTAATTGTTTAGTTGGGAAGTTGGACATTTTTTATCCGTTTGTAATATAGTTTAAGGTATTTAGTATAGATGGTGCTAAAACAGTTTGTACAGTTTCCTAACTTAATCTAATTTTTTTTTCAATTCTATTTTATTTAAAAAAATATTTTTGAAATTAAGATTCTTGAATAATACTATTAATCGCGATGACTGACAAAGTGTCAACTAGAACGAACATAAATATTTATATTTATTATCTGTTATAAATACAGGGTCATTCAGAAAACCGCTGACAGACTTCTAGAGCAGGTACTACATCAAAAATTGGGGTCGCAAATGCCATAAATTCATTGAATGTCATAAATTTCATTGAAATTGTAGACCTGTATCAACTTTAAACCAATTTCTTTAACCGCGATAATGAAATACATTCTGAATTAATATAAAATGAGATAGAAATTGAGATATAATTTCAATCAAATCGCGTAATTGGAAGTGGTACTTTATCTAAACAAATACCAAGCTTTTTCCATATAAACTATCACTTTAAATTGTGATAAATTAATCAAGTATTGTATAAATAAAGGTTTATACAATCATGATAAGGGAAAATTCCCCCATCAGGTGACCTCTTTTAGGGGGAATCTATGGGAGCCGGCACGTTCGGCCTATACAGTCCCTTGCGATTTCTTTGGGATATCTAAAATCCATACTTTACACAGTTCATCCAAGGGTCCCAATCTACTTAAAAGAGAATATTCGCCAAGGTATAGCGGATACACTCACAAAAGCTATTTTCGATTGAACACAATTAATACAAACGACATCTCGAGTGTTCCATACAGTGGATGCGAAACCAAGAGCTTTGCCGACAAACACCACATAAAGTGATTTAATATACATATATTCCTGAAGAATTGTAAGTAAATAGAACAGAAATTAAATATAAATATAGAAAGAAAGAGAACGTAAGAAGACGTCGTGATAAGACATTTCATAGCCTGGAATCAACCTTAGCTACACTATAGCAACCATAGTAGAAGTAATTGTGGAATACCAATTGCGCAAGAAATGGTACATGATACACATAACGTTTCCAAATACCTTCAATACCAAGGAAAAAATGAGTAGATCGTGCATACTTGAATACGTCACATTGGAAAGAAACGTTAACAAGACCTTAGCCCTGTCTTTGCAATCTAATTCTCTTCGGTACTTTTTCTATATGCAGGTTACTATACGGTACATCACACCACCCACCGACAGACTTCAATTATCAGTAAACTTTCACGAATTCAACAAGTAGCTGGATTGGCAATCTCTGGTGATAAGCACAACGCCAACTCTAGCAATGGATATTCTGCTTGGCCTATCTCATTTGCATTCGCATATAGAGAAAGTGGCTAGAACTACCATTTACAGGTTTAAGCAATATGCTCAAAACTGCTCCGACATTTACTACTAATGGGCTGCAGAAGACACTATAAGCACTGATATTGTGCTTTCAATGCCGTCAGATTGTACCGCCTGAGCGGCAGTCCTGGATCGAAAATGAAAATTCTCTGGTTCAGGCAGATATTTGCATGTTCACAGATGGATCAAAAACGCCGGAAGGGGTCGAAGCAGGAGTATACTGCCAGACACCTCGAATTAAGCAAGCTTCCGCAGGCGGAAGTATTTGCTATTGACATGGGTGCTAGAATCCTTCTTGAGAGAGGGTTGAAGAACATGACAGTATGATTTTTCTCAGACAGTCAAGTCGCTCTCCAGACGCTGTAGGCCGTGAAAACGGTGTCGGCTCTGGTTAATGACTGTAAAAGAACTTTAAACACACTGAGTTGTGATAACAGAATATTTCTGATCTGGGTCCCAGGTCCATCGATTTTTGGGTTACAGTTTATCTCCCCAAAGGATTTCACCAAGCAAGGCATTAATGTTTGTTAAGAGCATTGGACTGCACGGTGAAATTTGATAATGTTATCTATCGGTGTACAATCAAGATCAGATATGGGAAAGGAGACAGAGACAACTATTATAGACGAGCGGGCTATTCGGTAACTGAGATAAATACTACTATTTATCGATGCTATTACGAAGGGTGGGTAGGCAGATGTGGAGGGAGTTGAGAGATAGGGACCGAGATGTGCAGAGACAGGAAAGAAGGACACAAATAAAAGAGGGAAGGTATAACGAAAGGTACAGGGACATAATTACGGAGGGGCTTCCTAGATACTTGTTATTGGAAGGAGATGAGGAAGGGAAGAATGAGGTTCCGTTGTGGAAACGAGGAGAGAGCTAACAGATACTGGATGGCCGATGAGGAGAGGTTGTGTAGGCTATGCAGGGAGGAATGGGAAACGTTGGAACATATGTTGAGTGGGTGCAGTGAGTTGAGGGAGGAGGAGTTGGACCGAGGGCAGATCTTAGGAGAGGGGGGAGAGGGGAAACGATGGATGAGAATGGTTGTGGGGGTGAGGAGACAAAGGGATGGATGAGGGGATGATTGGGCCGAGGAGCCGAAGGTGTGGAAATGGAGGAAGAGGATAGAGGGTGAAAATAATATATTAATAATGTAAAGAATTGTAGAATTGTAGACAGATTATTGTATACAATAAACTCTTAATTAATATCGGTGTACAATAGATCTTTAAGGTCGCGGTGCAAGGTTGGTTGGTCCGCCTACTCGATACATTTATGTAATGTAATTACACAAGATGTGTGTAATTTGCACCATTTTCCAAAGAGCCTGGAGATTATGCGACGAAACAATTTGAAGAATGAAGAACGATTGCTAAAGTGCGTGCTTCAAAAGGTTATTTAATTGGTTATACTTCGAAGGACGTCCAACGGACCAACAAAGAAAAGAAGCTACTAATAACAGATACGGTAAGTAGTCAACTCGTGAGTTTCATCTGTCTTACCTTTGTTTCAGACAGCAAGCTACGGAACTCATTGCAGATAACAAAGAAAACTTCCTCCGTTAAAGTAGCCAAGAATCTACAGACTGTCATGAAAGTGTGGAAAATACTATGAAGGACAAACTAGACTCAACTTCCAAAGTCATTTAAAGAAATACGAAAGGGACATCAGATTAAGGAAAACACTAGTCAGCAGTCGCAGAATATTGCCACACGGAATAATACCATAAAATAGATACGCAAGATATAATGACTACTAATTAATCAATATTTGATGAACCTAAACGTTATAAACAATTTTTAATGCCAAAATATTTGGGCGAATAAAAAAATAAAAATCGATGTTTTGGCTCATGAGGATATAGCCGCTGCCAAGCCAAACCGACATAAACGCCAAAATGGTCACTTTTTATAATACTAAATAAATCTGTACCCAACAGTTATAACGACATTACTGCAAACAAACTTCAATCACTACAACATTAGTCTAATTTATCAAGTAAATGTCGTTTATGTCGTTTTGGCTTCGCAGCGTCATATTTGGAATCGTTTTCAAATTAAACAGCGGGATTACTTTTGATACGAACTGTAAGGTTATATGCGGTATGGAACTCATCATAATCATCATCAAGCAGACCCCTGCGTCCATTGTTGGATATAGGCCTCCCCTATTCTATTCCATTCGATTTTATTGTGTGCTGTTTGGATCCCATTGTTGGTCATTCTTTTGACTTGACGTCGTCCGTCCACGGTGTAGGTGGCCTTCCTCTACTTCGTCTCTCTGCTCAGGGTCTCCACTCAAGCAACCGTTTTGTCCATTGCTCATTCTTCATTCGCGCGATATGACCTGTCCAGTTCCACTTCAGCTATGCTACAATGTTGACCACATCATTTACGCCAGTTCATCTTAGTAGATCTTCATTTCGTATGTGGTCGCTCAAGGTTACACCCAGCATCGACCTCTCCATCTCTCTTTGGTTACTTTGACACTGTTAATGTAAGATTTGTTATAAATTTTGATTTCCCGTTGATATTTAGCCCTACTCTTGCACAGACCTCCTGCAAGTTGTTCAACATCAGTTTCATCTCTCCAAGGCTATCCGAAATAAGAACTATATTGTTCGCGTAGTGCAAATTACTTAGAGGTATTTGCCATCAATGTTTATGCCTTTTTGGGTCCAATCCAGTTGTTTAAATGAACTCTCCACCACTGTGATGAGCAATTTGGGGAACAATTGTATCGCTTTGTCTTACCCCACGCCCAATCGGAATTTACTCAGTACTTTCATGCAATTTTACCGTCATTGTAGCATTCTTGTAGATGTTACATGTAAGTTTGGTGTATCGATAATCGACTCTACATTCTTGAACTCCTTGCAAAACTGCCATCAACTCAATTGTATCAAAAGCCTTGTGAAAAACGACGAACGCCAGAACCAACGGTCTATTATACTCTATTATCTTCTCGATAAGTGTCTTGATACTTTGGAGGTGGTCCAAATCCCCGACGATAACCCGCCTGTTCTATTGGTTGATATAAATCAGTTTTATTTTCTAATCTGGTGGTTATAATTCTTGTGAAGAGTTTATAAAGATGACTTAGATGGCTTATTGGCCGATAATTCTCTAATCTAGCTTTATTACCCTTCTTATGGAGTAGGAACACTATGGAATTGTGCCATTTATTGGGAATCCTGTTATTGTAGGGGCAGAGGTTAAAAAGATCTCGTAATTTTAATGGCATTAGAAACCACATTGTCTTCACTTGGTGATTTGTTGTTTTTTGTTTTCCTCAAGGCTATTTCTATCTCCTCTAAGGTAATATCAGGCATTTCCTCTGATCCTTGATTGACAATATCGTTTTTATATGTGAGAAAATCTGGCTCGTCATTCTCGTCAACCTCATACCGACTTTTATACAGGGTGTTTACAGTCTTGTA